AAAAAAAAAAAAAAAAGCTGAAATTTTATGGTGATTCACAATGACAGGTTTTAAACCATTATAAAGGCTTCTTCAGAGCAACTTCACTCAGTCAGGCTTTTTTCATGGAATGCAGTATCAAATCATTTTGAATTTCAGATGACGGTTCACATGACTGTACCTTTGCTTTACCATTAGCACTTCTGACCAGTGTCAGCAATGTATGGATTGTGCTCATTCCTTAGCTTAAAATATCTTTGGAACAGAGGGTAAACTGGCAGAGTTCTTAATTAGGGCTATATCTCAAACTGTGGTATGAACCACAAATTCAACTCACCTCCATTTTTACAAGGTGCTTGCTCACAATCATCTATGTCCCTCTCACAGTTCTTTCCTGAGAAACCAGTCTTACACACACAAAGATAATCATTCACTCCATCTGCACATATCCCTCCATTCTGGCAAGGATTACTACCACAGTCATTGAAATTTATGTCACAAAGAACTCCTGTGTATCCTGGAAGGCACGAACAAGAGAACCCATTCACTCCATCAATACATGTACTTCTGTGGTGGCAAGGTAACTCTGCACAGTCATCAATGTCAATCTCGCAAAACCTTCCCCCAAATCCAGGCTGACAGTGACAGCGAAAATCAGCAACAAGATCTTGGCATGTTGCCCCATTCTTACATAGATTGCCTTGACAGTCATCAATGTTGGTCTGGCAGATAATTCCAGTAAATCCCTTACGGCATTCACATCGAAATGAGTTGACCTAAAATTAAGAAAAATAATATCATTAGCCATTCTTAGTTCTATACTCCTTAAGATATTAACTTCTACATGACTTGACTACTTTCCTTCCCCTTCTCTACTGGTAGAACCAGCAGTTGAGGATAAACAATGGTCTAACAGGTAGCCAGTATGCTGGATTTGGCTTTAAAATTAAGTTGACCAACAATTAAGCTTTAGGTTTAGTGACCGGTATTGCAATCTTAGGCAACACTTTTCACTAGAACTTTCACTGTTTTTATCTTTGGCTTTGAGATATAAATCATAGCACTGTTGCAAGCTGTCGAGAAAAACTGACAAATTGTTAGGGGAATGAGTAGTAGGGTCTACTACATGTAAGTTTCAACTACTGCTTCTGCTGTTAGAGAAAAGGTATAAGTGAAGTGAAGCCACTAGGAGTGTTGCTTCCACCCTGGATGAGATGCTACATGTACACTGTAGTTTGCATGTTATCCGCTTATAATTCTTCATGCTAATCCCAGACAATTAGTCATTACACATACCTATTCCTGAATAAAGAGAGGCACTACAGGAGGTACATGTAAGTGTCTTGTCCAAGAACCCAAACAATGACCAGGCCAGGACTTGAACTCGACCTCTCACCCATATAGTGCAGTTTACTAATAATTAGGCCACTGTATGACTCTCATCTTCTGATGTAGATCAGAAATTCCAGGAATGGGCCTTACCAAATGAAAGACAATAGAGAATTCTAGATTTCAATTACCTGATCAATACATGTCCCATTGTTATGACATGGATGTGCAGCACATTCATTTGTGTCAGTTGCACAGCTTCTTCCCGTAAATCCTGCTGCACAGTGACACACCTGCTGTCCACTAGCTGTTGTAACACAAGTACCACCATTCAGACATGAGGTGGATAAACAGGAACTATCATAACCCTAAAAAAATTAAGAAATTTAACAAATCTTTGAAGGTAGATATACCAACCCTAATATTAATAATTACTAATATTGGAAACCCCTCATGTAATATCGCATAATGTTCATGCAAGTAACATTGTTTCATGCCTTTGTCTTAACATTAATGTCATTGTCTGATATAGACAAAGTTCAAGGAGGGGATGGTTTAACAAAAATGATTCACTGAGCCTCTGTCAGTACAAATGCTGTTCTTTAAGTGTGTTTGTTCACTGGTAATAGATAGAAATGATGTTCATCTTATCTGTTCTTTATTCTTCTGAGGCAGTAAAAAGCTATATAACTGCCATTTTGAAACTAAAGCTTCAGCACTTTGGTATAATGTATTGACTGTTGCAAGAATTTTTTGTAATAATCACCTGAACAACTAAGAGGTTAAATATTCTTTGAGTTGTGTGAAAGGCAACTAAACAGGTTTGCCAAGATGAAAATCTTAGAAAGATCTTTAAGGATCCTGAAAGATCTTCATGAGGACCTTTTGGGATCTTACAGAGGATCTTCATAATGATCTTTGAAAAGTCTCTATGGATCTTTAAAATTATTGTTAAGATCTTCAAGGATCCTTAATTTTCTGGCCAAGATGAAGGAGTGAAGTTTTTCATCATAGCTGATAAAGGAGGTGAGAACTGCAAAGAGGAATGCAGAAAGAACTTCTACAGTGACCTTCTTCCTCTTCTGCACCAGCATTTCCCAGCTGGGTGTATTATTCAGGAACTAAATAACTATTTCCATAACAGTTGCTGATGGTGTAATTAAGGCTGCTGTGCTCTGAATAGGATCCATAAAGGCAGAACCCAAACTAAAGAGCCTGCTTCCAGGCTAAACAGACAGTGGTAAGAGGTCTTATAGGCAGTTGCAGATGACTGGTAACCAGCTTTTATTGAAAGGTCTGTGTAATTACCTTGAGAAAGCCACTCCATAATAAAACAGTAGTGGTGATTATCCTAGAAGTTATCATTCCTCTGTGGAACAAATTATGACCCAGGACTATTAACAATTGCCAAGAAACTTCATTTGAGGAGCTGAAAAAGAAAAGAAAATACGAATAAAAGCGTTTAGCTATTGAATCCCACTTTAGAAGAGGACGTTTGTTTTGGAAATTTTAGACTGTATTGAAACATTACAATTTTTTCTTTATCAACAGAGAGGGTAACTTGCTGACTCATTTGAGCTACAACTTATGCAGACAAGGATTAAAAGATGGAGATACAATTAGGTTCATTAATGAATGAGCATAGTGTAAGAAAATGAAAGTTCGATCAATAATATTTACCATGATCACCTGAATGTTATTTTGATTGAAACAAAGAGGATTGTACCTTGACTACCGATAATCATATATAGTTTCTTTTTTTCTGTCCTTTTTTCGCGATATTTGAACTCAATATCCAAAAAATGTAATAAATATTAAGTTCACAGTGAATATATTAATCAATTGAGTGCATCAAAATTAAATTTAGACAAGCATAAATGAAACATTTGTTCAACGTACAGCTCAACTTAAATACAACAAATTCCACTGACAAATTATTTATAAAGCTCACACTGTGCAAAACTTAGAGAAAACTCATTATTAGCTAGCGAATGAAAAATCGTTACATTTATTAAATAACGAACTATTTGAAACTATCTGGTCACATGATGGCGCGAAAAAACATTCACAGTGAGGCTTTAAAGAAAAGACCACGTTATAAACATAAATTTTCCACAAATTGGTAGCTAACTTACCGAACTGAATTCCATTCACGTTTCTAAAGCTCTAGGAGTAGAAGGAACGAAAGAACGACGAAATACAAGTCTGCAAAACTCAGAATTCCTTCAGCGTCAAATACTCACGCTTGGTTTGTAGACGCCGTAATCAAGACAACAGACTTGTCGGCGAGAAGACTGGACTTTAGACAAGATGTAGTAAATATTATACTCACGGAGGAGTGGGTGACAACTCGGCACTTAAGCGAATGATGAAAACAACCAAGATGAAGAAGAACTTTACTATAAAGAAGACTAATTAAAAAGTCCCCTTTTTTATCGAACTGACTTTAAGTCAGCCTTACATTTTGATGATAAAGGGATTTTTTTAAAGCGAAGAAATTTTCAATTTGCCGCCCCCCCCTTGCTAGTGGGTATACCCAAAGTGTATCAAGAGGATTTCTCTCCCGTTAAGAAATTCCGAAACTGATAACGTTAAATCGAAACTATTAATACTCTAAATTCAAAATGAATAGAATGATGATTATTTCTTGTGAATAATATGTTTTTTATCAATTTATTCCCCAAGAATCTCTTCAATTTCAAGTGTGTTTAATTCATAATGCATGATATGCTACTATCTTCTCCATACTATCAGAGCGAGGATGTGGGAAGGCTGAGTTGAATCGAAAGTGCCTAATCAGCTTTCAGTTTAGATGTAACGGTGACTGTTTGGAGGTGTGGATTTGAACTGCTTCTTTTAAATGGAAAGCATGGAACGAGAGCCACTTCTTGGAGTAAAAAAATCAGGTATGAAGCATGAGATACGTTTTTTTCCTCTGGTTTTCCGCTCAACACGACAAAAGGTTATTTCGCGAATACTGCGTTTCTATAATGTTAGGTTGCAGTACTTTGTTGTGATCTTAGTGATAAAATCTAAGCGTAAGTCAAACAAGAAGAGAATCTAATCCACATACCTTTAAAATTCATTATCAACTAAGAATGTTTCTTTGTCAGTAATCTGAAATCAAGAGCATTGATCAGACGAGAGAAACTTCACGTTTGAGAAATATAGTTTGTGGGCCTGATTTTGTGATGCATAACTGTGTTAAAAGAGATTTATTAGTAAAAGACGTAAAGATACAAGTAGTTATTTTCGTTGTATCCTCCAGTTAAAAAATTGGTCAAGAAAGTAGGTAATTCAAGTGATTCGCTTCGGCAAAGGGGAATTTTAGCACGACTTGCAGACTACGACATGTCAATGTCTCGTGATCGTAACCTGATGATTACGTCTGCACTTCACCGGCGTTAAAATGACATTTACTGATGTTATCGTAAATTGAACTTTCTGAAGCTATCCAACAACATTATTTTTCCTTTAGATATATTTTTTCCATAGTTGCCGTAGTTCCAAAGGCAAAATATAGTAAGCGTTTGGAATTGCCCTTCAGAAGCATATTGATAAATTTACACAATCTATCGTTTACGCCATTGCTTTGTTTATCCACGAACTCTAAGCCCAATGAAGTATGGGGCTGTGAGGAAATCTTGCCTTGCGTTTTCTTGGTGATGTTGGGTTTAGCAGTCCTGTCAAAATTATGAATTTCATGTAAAGATGCAATGATGTTCAACAATTGTTCACCGTGGTGGAGGTGAATAGTGGAGGATATTCACTGTGTTGCAACGCGGCGAGGTAAATATCCACCACTTTCATTGACACTTTGGTAAATAATCGTTTTAGAATATCTACATCTACTTTTATTAATTGACAACGCTTTCGCATCAAGTCACAATTGGTTTCTTTCTATCATTATATGGAAAAATGACTAAAAGTAGACTTTTGATGTGAGGTTTTGACATTTCAGTTGCTGGGAGGTGAAGTTAATAACTGTAGTAATAACTATTCACCAAAGTGAAGGTACTAAGTGGTGGATATTTACCTAGCTGTGAAGTGGTGAGGTTAATATTTACTTCTAGCCACCAACACTGAGGTGAATACTTGTCTCAGTATGAAATAAAACTGTGAGACAAAACAGCACAAAAAGATCATTTGAACTCCTTCATTCCTGCAATTATTGCAATATTATTAGTGCAAATTCTGTGCATATTGCTCAAAGGTGAATAAAAAAGGATGATTAGAGTTTAAGTAGCCAATCATTCAGCACACTTCAACACTATCCAGTATTTTAATATATACTTATGCTTATCATTTCTGAGCAGGCCCAAATCAGCACTCGCAGCTCTTTTTATCTGTGTGGATTATACTTATAAAAAATTGTTAAGGGCTCAATGCAGTCTGGCCAAAGTCCCCTGCAAATTGCTTCAAAGTGCCATGAGCTAATAGATATGGGCTATAGAAGTCCCTCATTACATTGCTTTACATAACATTATAGAGAAAAGACCTTGGCCACTAAATTTAAAGTGATTTAAGTTGTCAATTTGGTCACTTAGGTTAATAGGTCATGTAGCAAGTGTAAAGTTTTTATTTTAATGGATAAATAGAGTAATAATTATGTTCTACTGCAAGGAAACAAGTTAAAAGAATTTGTGTGTGAACTGGTAAAGGTGGGGTAGACCTTGTTTTGTTACTTAGCTGCCAGCACCCAAGAGCAATATGAAGCCAATCCTGAGTTGTGAGGCTTCCTGAGTGGGCAAGACAGATCCATCTTGCCTGCTTGGATAGCCAGTCAGGGTAGCTTGGGAAGCCTGGTTTGATCCCGTGCAAGAAAAAAATTCATAGAGTGAAATTATAAACTGGTAACTTTTGGACTATGTTGGCGATGAAGTTGCACAAAGGGGTAGAAGGCCGTCCAAACAAAGACAACATAAACAACTGTGGTGGGTTTATTGTGCTACAAACACTGTGTTGGCTTTGTTTATTGGCTCTCAAAATAAACAAGTCATTCTTGATTGTTATTTAAGGGAAATCTGTTTGCTGGATAGTAACCTTGTTCTCTTTTTGTGTTTTTATGGACCTTTACTTTATCTCAGTCCATAAAAACACAAAAAAGAACTCAGCCAATATCCAGCCATCTTGACCTCACACTAAGTCAATAAATGGGCGAACTCACCTAAGTGTTAGGGGACATAAACTTGTGACCGGGCAAAACCTTTAGCTAGATCTTTCAATCTCTCAACAGGTCGTCAAACTCACAATAGATATCCCTACTCTAGATCATCAATCAGCGATGATTTTAATGAAACCTCTGTGTATTCCTACTGTGGGAATAATTACAACATTCCCAGACCAGACAGACGACATGCATATTCTGATACAACATCCACAAGTAATGAAGAGCCTCCTGCTGCAAGGAAAATTCATCGGCCTTACTTTATATGTCTAGTAACAATTGCAAATGTGGCACTTCTTATGTACATCTGCATTGCTGGTGGAGTGGAGACTATAGCTTTTAAGCCAGAACGTCAAAATATATCAGTTGACAGATTTGGATACATAGGATCAAATGATTCAGTGCATAAACAAGATATTTTTCGATATCATGGGGTCAACTGGTTCATTGGACCTAATTCATCTTTTCTGGTTCAGACGGGAGCTAAATTTGGTCCGGTGAGTTAAGAATATTTCCTGCTATTCAGTTTATACTGATGAAGAAAATTTGGTTGATTATCAAGAGCTTCTTTAGTTTTTGACCATCTTCATTATCCTTATAGCTTTAATTAGTTTGAATCAGCTAATATTGTAAAGAGAAACTTGATCTCAGCAACTCTTAGGGGTTTGAGGGTTAAATTTACAAACAGGTAGACATTTTTTTATTTTCAGTTGTAAGGTTTCTTGGCCATGTTTTGTGCACTTTCACAGCACTTGAAGGTAATGAAGGGATCTTATACTGAGAACCCATGCAATCATCGCAAAGACTAGGTGCCATATTTTCACTTCTATTAAGCAGTTGTGGTCACCTTTGGCTGAGTCCCAACAGCCTGTTTGAATGGTCACTTAAAGTGGTTAACCCTTAAACTCCCATGAGTGATCAAGACAAAATTTCTCCTTACCATATCAAAACAATATCAAGCAGACAAGTGATGAGAATAAAGAAAAATATTAACAAGGGGATAATTTGTTGATCCAATACCAAATTCTCCAAACTAACATCACAAGAACTATATGACAGACAACAAGGAGAATTACTAATGAGATCTTGGGAGTTAAACAGTTAAAGTGGAACCACTGTGGCAAAACTAAAAATAAGGTAACCGACCAAAATGTCAAGAACAACTCCCTGGATAAAACTGTTGGCAGATAATAATTGCATTCATTAAATGTTTTTTTCAGTGCATGAAGAAGTTGGAGGTCGTAGAAGAAAGAATTAAAAA